TTTACTGTACCAATATTTTAAATTGGCCTTTGAACTTAGCTTTATTGCATGGCAAAAAAAATGTTACCTTGCCAAAGCACTGACAGAGCCCACTGATCTAATGGCGATGTTGAGCGCTCCAAATGCAAACTTCGCATGCAACAATCAGGCAGCAACTGACAGCACTCTGATCCAGTGGCATACAGGCATCGTCAGATGGACAGTACTCTAGCCCAATAATGTTGGGGGATCCAGTGGGGGTGGCAGTCATATTTCAGGGTGACCGTGCCACTCTTTATCATAACCCTGCTAAAAGTGCCAGTACGTGCGCTCATTGGCGCCCCTTCAGCTGGTGGCGCCCTGCCTAGCTCGCCTATGCCTAGAAACGGTTGGGGATACATTAAACGCGATCTGCGATGACGTCACAATCGTGTCGCATTGTGGTCTGTGAAGTGGTCAAAATCGAGGGGTGGGTCTGTCCATATTCCCTCGTTCACTTCGAAGTGGAACGCACTTCAAAATGGCAGCGGGGATTCCCCCGAGGGGAAGTCCTGAAGTTCACGAGTGCGTGTCTTAAAAGTGGAGTGGAACGCAGCCTTGTTTGGTCCCCTACACCCTTCGAAGCTCTCACTCTGGAGGGTAAACCCCTTGAAGGGATTAGCATGAGCCCTTCCGAATGGAACGCAGGATATGTGTTCTGAATTTTGTTTTAGTGTAAGCCATTTTTTACGTAGTAAATCGAGTCATATTTCGAAATGTTTGCCACGAAATATTTATTTTGCAATGAACTGTGTTTTATAAGGTAGGCACGAACAATTTTGCGACACTTTGTTTCATTTTACGGTGCTTTCCTAAACACGTCAATAGGTTGCATTCTCTTGATTTGAGCAATCCTCCGTTTCAAACCCGTGATTCGTGTCAGATAATGAAAAAGCTGAAATGCTGGCTAAAGTATTTGTTAAAGTCCATAGTGATGATAATGTATCAGAGGATATTAAAAAGTGTAGAATCCAGAACAAGAATCTGCACCCAGATGTGATGACGAAAAGAAGTCCTTCTGGAGACACTTTAGGTGCAGAATTTACTATGTATGAATTAAAGATGGCTCTAGGGGGAGTTAAACATAATTTTAAATCTTTTTAACAAGGTATGGAATGCAGGAAAGATTCCTTCTTCGTGGAAACATGGAATAATAGTAGCAGTAGGCAAACCTGGAAAGGACAAATCCAATCCAATTAATTATAGGCCAATTGCATTAACTTCTAATTTATGTAAACTGATGGAAAAAAATTTCATACATAGACTAAATTATATATTGGAAATAAAAGGTTGTATATCGCAATATCAGAGTGGATTTAGGGCTGGTCAGAATACAATGGATGATGTTTTAAGCCTAGAAGCCGATGTCAGGAAAGCTCAGACAAATAAAGAAGTATTGGTGGGGGTTTTATTTGATATTGAGAAAGCCTATGATATGCTTTGGAAAGAGGGACTTTTAATAAAACTTAAATGTATGGGAATTGGATGAAAGTTATATAATT